GGAAGGAAGGAAGGAAGGAAGGAAGGAAGGAAGGAAGGAAGGAAGGAGAGAGAGAGAAAGAAGGGGGAGGAGGGACAGAGAGAGACAAAGAAAAAAGAAAAACAGGAGAGACAAAGAAGGAGGGAGGGATTGAAAGAAAGAAAAAGAAAGGAGGGAGGGAGGAAGAAGGGAGGGGGAAAGAAAAAGAAGGGAGAAAGAAAAGGAAGGGAGGGAGGGAGAGAAAAGGAAGGAGGGACAGAGAAAGAGGGAGGGAGAGAAAGGAGGGAGGGACAGAGAAAGAAAAAGAAAGAAAGAAAGAAAGAAAGAAAGAAAGAAAGAAAGAAAGAAAGAAAGAAAGAAAGAAAGAAAGAAAGAAAAGGATAATCAGCCTCAAGATGGAGAGGTTCACATTAGCGATGAATGCTCTCCTTGGAAGAGCCAAAAGGCCAAATTAGGGACATCATCATGAAGAGAATCTCTCGGTGTGGGTGCTAAGTGACCCCCCCAACTGAATGGCCTACCATCAATCAATGTTTTGCCCTCCGTGACCCTTCCCCACTCCGGAGGGGGAGACCAGAGGTCTGGGTCTCATTTGGAGTAGAGTGCAGGAGCTCATGATGACAGACAGTTTAAGGATGCTTGAAGATAGCAAAGCAAACAAGGAGAAGTAACTAGCCAGCAAATCCATCAAGGGATGCTCAGGTAGCACAAGAGCTCCTGATAGCAGCTCACCCAAAGGATGCCGGAAAAATATCCTTTGCAGGTGGAATTTGGACTCCATTTGTGGCCATAGGGAGGCTTATTTCATGGTGGACCCTCTGCCTAGCCCAACTCTATGACCATCTCAAATAAGTATTTAAATAAAAACTTTTGGGAAGGAGGCATTTTAATTAATTTAAATATTAAATTAATATTTTAGGAAAGATGAGGTCTTTTAACTAGACATAGAAAGAATTGATAGATGTCCATTTTATTCTCTCTCCCTCCCTCTTTGTCCCTCTCTCTCTCTTTCTTTCTCCTTTCTCACTGTCTCTCTGTGTGTCTCTTTCTGTGTCTCAGTTTCTGTGTGTGTGTGTGTGTGTGTGTGTGTTTCTGTGTTTTTCTCTGTGTGTTGCTTTCCCTCTCTCTTTTTCTCTTTCTCCTTTCTCTCTCTCTGTCTCTGTTTCTCTCTCTGTTTTTCTCGCTGTCTCTCTGTTCCTTTCCTCCCCTTTCTTTTCTCATTCTCTCTGCCCTTTCTCTTTCTCTTTTCTCTCTTTCTCTCTCTCTCTCTGTTTCTGTTTCTTTCTCTCTCTGACTTTCTCTTCTTTATTTGTGTGCATCTCCGTTTTTTTCTCTCCCTCCCTCCTCTGCCTCTGTTTCTTTTTCTATCTCTCTTTCTTCTTTCTACCCCCCCCTTCTTTCTCTCTCTTTTGTACATACACAACATTTAGGTGCTTTATCAGCCCATTTGATCCTTAGAAAGCCAAAGAATAAATTCACTTAAGAATTTCATTTCAAAGGAAGTGAAATTTCCTCTGTCTCTCAATTTCTCTGTTTTTCTCTCTGTCTCTCTGTTCTTTTCCTCCTCTATCTCTTCCCTTTCTTCTTTGTTTCTCTTTCTCCTTTCTCTCTCTTGTTTCTTTCCCTCTCTCTCTTTCTCTCTCTCCCTCCATTTCTCCCTGTCTCTCTGTTCTTTTCTCTCTCTCTCTCTTTCTCCATTCTGCCTCTCTCTCCTTTCTCTATATGTGTCTCTCTGGTTCTCTTTCCCTCCCTCCATTTCTCGCTCTGCCTCTCTATTCGACTCTCTCTTTCACCTTTTTGCCCTTTTCTCTTTCTTTCTCTCTCTCTCCCTCTCTCTCATACATACCCAACATTAAGGTGCCTTTTTCAGCCCACTTGATCCTTAGAAAGCCAAAGAACAATTCAACTTAAGAATTTCACTTCAAAAGAGATGGTCACAGACGGTTGGCTTACCTGAACTCCATCAGGAAATTGAAGGGCTTCCGCTCCCTTTCAAGAAGATCTAATTTCTGAGCAAATAAAATAAATAAAATTGAAGTGCCGTTTTTTTTTTTCCACCCCACTGACTTGCTCCTGACACCTTAACGCAGGTGGTCTACAGTGGGATTTGTAAGCAAACCCAAGTGGTTGGATCACTTACACTTGGGCTTTTGGGCGGCACACGACTGGCTCAAACTTAAGTGGTTGTCCACTAGATCTTCCTAGATCCCTAGATCCCTCCCTCCCTCTTTAAAAACTAATGAGCACATTGTGGTTTTGAGCAAGGAGGCATCGCAATGCGTCCAAAGGAGAAAAACGCTTGCTGTGAATTTGTTTTTGGGAGGTGGTGAGAACATACATTCACACATGGAAGTCATCAAACAGCTGGCTCTCTTTCTGTAAGAGCTGTAAAATGACCATTAAAACGTCAATTATTTTCATCAGTAAGAGGAGGTGGAAAAACCCACCTTACCCGTATCCTAAAGGTGCTTTTTTTCTCTCAAGAGACACATGGAGTTTCCGGTTTTTCTTTTGAAGACATTTCACTTCTCATCCAAGAAGCTTCTTCAGCTCTGATTGAAGAGTGGGGAATGGAAGGATTTTGTATTCCTTGCAGACAGCTGGTCATGTGCATCCTTTTAGGGAATCACTGAGATCATTTGGAGGTTTATCTGTGTCTTGGGGTCACCCTGAGTGGTGCAAATGGGCGTAGAGCCTTCTTGGTTGCAGTATGTTTTCTGCCCTGCGTCTAAGGACACAGACAAACCTCCAAGTGGCCTCAACGTCTCTCTAAGAAGAACGCAAATGACCAGCTGTCTGCAAGGAATATAAATCCTTCCGTTCCCCACCATCCAGTCAGAGCTGAAGAAGCTTCTTGGATGAGAAGCAAAACGTCCTCAAAGAGAAACCAGAAAGTCCAGGTCACCTCTTGAAAAAAAGCACCTTTGGGACAACCATAACCTGGATGACTGAGAATCTCCATGGACATGCCACCCATACGCATTAATTTATTAAAATAAACATATGATGTCCTGAACCAGATCTACAGAAGAACAGAAGAGAGGCAGCATAATATTCATCTGGGGTCTCCAGCTGCCAATTCCAGGGCTTTTTAGAATGTACAGGTAGTCCTTGAGTCACCTGTCTGTCTATTTCTTT